GCGTGAGACACCACAAAGCCCTCGATTACGGTAAAATAGAAAACAAGGTAAAACCCAGAGAGCCGTACAACAGTGAATTATAAATGGCGGCGGATTTAAGATTGCTTGCCAAGTTGCCATCTTATTCCTAGCTTTAAAAAGAAAATTGAATTTTAAACTTCGTTTCAAACCGGTAAATATACCGAAAGATCCTTCGTGAATTTCCTTATTTACCACGTGGACCCGGTTTACCACTGAGTAAATTACCAAACAAAAAGGACACAAATAAAGTACAGATATTAATCACTCACTTTATTTACTGCAGCTTTAATCAGATGGTCAAAGATGTGAGCTGTTGCTGATGGGGTCAATTTGACAGACGTATTTTATAATAGATTTATATGGATTCCTAAATTTTATTTCCTCATTTCTACTCCTTGAAGTGGTAAATCAAAATTGGTTATTTTTATTTTTTAATATATGAGTCCACAGAAAAATGTCTACATCAAAAATATGTGAAAGAAGTACAAATTGAGAGTATAAACTATGAGTACTCTAAGTATTTTCCTTTATTATAATCTACTGTTACTCCTAATATCTATAAACATGGTGGAAAAAATCGCTAGGTGCTCATCGGGCGCTCGGGGAGCGCCTAGGCGGGGATTAATCAGCGCCTAGACGCCCGTGTATTTTTATTTTATTTTTTATTTTTAAAAAAATTATTTAAATTTTTTAATTTTTAAGACTTTATAATTATAAACTATTTAATACTTTAATAATTAATATTAAAATATTAAATATTAACTTTAAAAAATCTAGAGTTTGAACAATTTAGTATTTTTTCACTCAAAAAATATAGTTTTGAGTGAAATAACTCATTTAAAAAAGAATTGAAAAATAGTTAATCGGCCGACTAGGCGACCTAGTCGGTGCCTAGGAGGCCTAGTCGGGGCCTAGGCGGCACTTAGGCGGTCTAGTCGGAAGCCTAGCCGGTCAGCCGCCTAGACCATCGATTATGGTGATACGCTAGGCGGTCGGCCAACGCCTAGCGTCTAGGCGGGATTTTTGCAATAGTGTCTACAAAAATACTACATGTATTTCCAAAAATATACTCACAACTTGTACCCCCACTTGTATTCAAATTTGATTGGATGAAGAAAAAGAGAAATGGATAAACATCATGCCCCTTAAGATTGAGCAATCAAAGCATATCAAATCATAGAGAGTACAAAATGAGAGTAGAAACTAGGAGTACATGTAAAATTACTCTAAAATCTAAATGTATATAGGCTATGGATCCTATGAGAACACTTCTATAGGAAAAAAAATAAGAATTAATCTCAGGTTTACATCGGTACAATTTTGACGGATCTAATTAAATTTTTTTTAAAAAATATGCCGTGACAGTTTTGTAATTATCATCAACTTCACTTACAAACTTTAACACTTAAATATACAATCTTTAACAACTAAATATGTAAACCTTGTAAATCCTATAAAATCAACGAAAAAGTTAAAATTTAAATCTAAACTGTAAATGTTATACCTTAAGCAGTAAAAAGTGAATCACTGGACCAAATAAAATAAAAAAGTTAGTCATAAAATTCTAAAATTGAAAACCCTGATTGCAATGTACTTTCGCATTTTTTCAAATGCAAACTTTAAATAATAAATATGCAAAATGTTAATATTAAATATGCAAAACGTTAATACTAAATGTGCAAACATGAAAAAGTCTAAAAATTTCATGTTTTAGTGTTCACTTTGCTTCTTCCTTCCAGGGCGCGTGCTTTTTTTTTTTTTTTTTTTTTTTTTAATTTCATTGATTTGAGCCGTTGATCTAGATTTGATCAATGGCTCAAATTAAACCGCATGTCCGCACCTGAGCAAATTTCCGCACCAGAACCCCTCCATATAGGGAGGGGTTCTGGTGCGGTCATTTGCTTAGGAGCTGACGTGCGGTTTAATCTAAGACGTTGATCAAATCTAAATCAACGGCTTAAATTAATGAAAATTAAATTAAAAAAATGCCTCTCTGGAAGGAACCAAGCAACTTAACCTTAAGTATGAAAATGACGCACCTTCGGTACACAAACCACACACCTTAAGTACACAAATCACGCATATTAAGAACACAAACTACGCACCTAAGGTTTTAAAATGGCGCACCTTAAGTTTCAACAACTCACGCACCTTAAGCATTCGAATCACGCACCTTTTGGTTTAGGTTGACGCACCTTAAGTTTCAATAACTACTCACATTAAGCAGACAAATCACGCACATTAAGCACAAAGATCACGCACCTTAAGCACACAAATCACGCACCTTAAACACAAAAATCACCCACCTTAAATTTGACCTAGATGCAAAAATTACCAAATTACCACTCGCATTTTTATTTATTTATTTTGTTCATCCTGAACGTTGATTTAAGCAAGATCAATGGCTCAGATTTAACCGCACGGGTACTGAATTACCAAAAGGCCCTTAATTATCAAAGATACACAACATAGAAATTAGTAGACCTTGAATAGAATTAGCAATGTTTTTCTATGAGATATAAAATATGACATTCAAAATTTAAAAATTGCTCATAAAATTAAGAAGGGACATATTATATGATTGAGATTAAAATTAATAAAATTTAAATATCAATATGATAAAATTAGTTGGGAAAAATTAAATTTGAAAAAACAACCAAAATTGCTTACTAAACTTTATATTAAATTAATTTTTTTTTTTTTAAAAACATTATATTAAATATAATAACTCTACCCATAAAATTTTTTGGGTGTCTTTACTTAATTTAAACTGGGCCAAGCATCATGGGCCTCACGTGACAGGCCACACGTACTTCAAGACAGGAAAAAAAATCATCCGCTGACTAAGCTCCGTGAAACCTTCATTCATTGGACCAACGGCGTTTGTCGGGGCCAGGTACGATACGTGCCACAATTGTTTGTCGAACATCGAGATGCGGCGCTTCGTTTACTCCTAACTATATGTACACTGTACTCTGTAGTAGCATCTTAAGATGCATTTTAAAAAAAAAATTAAAAATAAATGGACTGCTAGAATATGGTACATGTACAAGGTTATAAAATGCCGTATTTGGTATTTTTTGGGTACAAAATTAGATACATTTTTAATGCTCCTTTTACCATTTAAAATTTATTCTTTTTTTTTTTTTCTTTCTATATTAGATTACATATCTCATAAACAAAATTCTATATTTAATAAATTTAACGAGATATTTACTATTTTATTATAAACTTTTTTTAGGGAAAATGACACTTTTTCCCCCTATGTTAATGAGCACAACTTTTAGAATAATTGAGGGGGCTAATGTGCTTACCTAAATAATTGAGGGGGAAAAAGTGCTATAAGTATATAACTCAGGGGCAAAAAGTGTCATTTTCCCAACTTTTTTATTAGGCATAATCCTATTTTGTACCTATGTAACAAAATATTACAAGGCATTTGGTTTCAATGAGAGAATTAAATGAAAAATGAATCGCCATTCAATGAGAGATGAATAGTGTAAAATAATGTGATAAGTAAAATTTCAGTGTTCGGTTTGTAGGAAAAGAATACATGAAATTTTAATTCTAGTGTTTTGTATTAATGGGAATTGAAATGTAATAAATAATATAAATTTCAAAAATACTAGGGGGAGTCATGTGATTTTAATTTTGTGAAAAATGATGAAATTAAGATTTCGTGAAATTGTAATTCTTTTTTCAACTAAATGAGGGAATTTGATTGCATTTGAATTTAGGTGAAAGTGAAATTCTAATTCTCTCCCATCAAATAAAGTGTGTAGAATTAGTGGTTATTGACGATTTAGTTTATTTTTTTCCCTTTCTTAAAAAATGTCATTCAAAAGGTGCATTGATAGCAAAAAAACATTTGAGAAAATTCGTCTCCAAATGCCTTTTGAATTTTGATGCAATAATTTATTTTTTTCTAAAATCGAGATAATAAGAGAAATTTTTATTATTTGTTACTTTTTTTCTTTTATTTTTCAAGTTTCAACTGATATAGCAAATAAAGAAATATCACTTTTAACTTTTATAGAAAAAAATGTTATTATAGTAAAAGGCATTTAAGAAAGTTTTAATAGTACAACACATTTTAAAATATCTCTACGTTTGATTTTTAGTACGTTCCAAAATTTTATTTTTATAAGAACTTTTATAATGCTAAAAAAAACTAACAGGTGTAGTGTTCTCTATTTTAGATGCCAAGCACCTTGTGCTTAATTGACACATCTATCACTCCATACTACCTATTTGAATCTGTATGTGCAACTAATGGGATAACTATTGTTATTTGTTTTTTTTTTTTTTAATTTGAAAAAATTACTCATATAGATTATTATAGAAAGGAATGACACCTAGGTTGGACTCTCATATGGGAGGTTGTGAGTTCGACTCTCAGTAGAAGTATTATTGGCTCTTTGTGTTTCAGTAGGTTGAGAAAGTAGTTATGAACAGATACTACATTGTAATATAGTCATAGCATTCAAAAATATAGATTATTATAGAAAGGAATTTTTATTTTCATTGACTACCTATGAACTGGCCAACTCCACCCTAAATCGGTAATTAATTTATGTAATAATTAAAAATAAAAAAAATTGATGAACAATAATCACAAGTAAAATTAGGTACTAATTTGCATTAGGAAACATAATAGGACTCTATTTATAATGCCAAGAAGATGCCAGCTGGAATATTAATCAGATTTATAAATGATATATTTCAATATTTGGAGAGTTAATTAATTATTTCCCCTTAATTTAATAAAAATTTATTAATAAAATATTCACATATTTGAAAATTAATCAACAGGCCCAAAGAAATTAGCCTAAAATTTAAAATCTAAAAAAAAAAAAAAAAAAAAAAACTTCTCACTCCACATAGATATTATTGAATAAAAAAATTATTGAATGTTGTGTATAGATATGAAAGGGGTCCTTTAAAATAGCGATTTCAGCGTTGCGTTTCCACAGCAAATCAGACTCTACGGCGACTCCTCACCTTTTTATCTCTCTCTCTTTCTGATATCACTCATTCTGTCATTCACAAATCAATTACTAAAACTCCATTACTGTTTCATCAATTACCTTTTCATTTATGGGTGAAACAAGATTTTTTCCAACTCATAGCCTTCCGGAATGGAAATTATGAATCTAAATTCTCCACTTAATTCCTTTCCTTTTCTCCACTGATTCACTTTCCTTTCTCTCTACCCACTCACCCTTTTTAAGCCTCCCTTCTCCCCTCCATTCCCATCTTTTAATGGTGTCAGATTTTCCTCACACCCTCGCCTCTTTCTCTCCCTTTCTTCCTCAAACTAATATTCTCTGAAACCATTTTTTTTCCCAATGGATCTTATCGAGTTTTGTCCGATTAAATATACAGAGCACCGCCACGTCGTTAAAAAACTCGCTAAACCCTCCGCCGCCGCCGCCTTAAACCCCGGGGTGTTTTCCACCGGTCCGAAGAGGGTTCGGATAACGGTAACGGACCCGGACGCTACCGATACGTCCAGTGATGAAGAGGAGCTGTTTGAGCGGCAGCGAGTGAGGAGATATATCCATGAAATTAATATTGAAACGGCCGTTAATGTTGACGCCGTTAAGTCCGGCAAGAAACGGCCTGTTGCGGAGGCGCTTCACAGCAAGCAGAAGCAGGTGAAGGTAGCGCCGGCGGCGGCGGCTAATGGGGTTAGGAAGTTCCGGGGAGTTCGGCAACGGCCGTGGGGGAAATGGGCCGCCGAGATTAGAGATCCGACCCGGGGTGTCCGGCTTTGGTTGGGGACTTACGACACCGCCGAAGAGGCGGCTATGGTTTACGACAATGCCGCGCTTAAGCTACGTGGGCCCGACGCTCTTACTAATTTCGTTAAGCCGCCGGCGATTGAGACGCCGGAGGTTAATGCGGCGTCGAGTTCCGGCTACGATTCAGGCGATGAGTCCCGCCATCTTCCATCGCCGACGTCGGTTCTCCACTTCCGAACAAGCAAGTGCAGTGAAGAATCTGAACCGCAATGTAAGTCCGAAGCGGTCCACTCTGACGGGTCGGTTCATGATTGCGTGGAGAGCGATCAAGCGGTTCAAGTCCCCGACCCGGTTCAATCCAACGTGGCAGACTTCCCGGGAGATATCAGTGATGACATTCCATTCATAGACAACTTCTTCGATTTCCAATCTTCAAAGCAAACGCTCCTCCTCGACGATTCGTCGCCAAATTTCAATTTCGTCAAAGCCGAATTTGACACGACGTCTGCTGACGTCTGGTTGCCGGGTTTCGGCAATGACCTGTTTCGCGACGATGGGTTTTGCGACGATTTTGGAAAGTTTGATGATTCCTTTGAAGACCTTAGCACATTGAACGTCAGCGATTATTTTGAAGATGACGTGGATGACTTCTCCATCGTTGATACTTTTTTGGCAGTATAATGTATTTCGCGAGATATAATTAAAACCAATTTTGAGTATTTACATATTATAATGTATTCCCTGTAGGCTGTTGCCATTTTGTTGGCAAATTTTGCGCACTACACCTTCAAATGGAATCCAATTTTGAGTATATTAGGTTTGTTTACTTATTATATATTTTTCAATAATAAAAATTTATTTATTTTGATCGGTATTATAATTAATTATACTATCGTGTTTTGATGTTTCATAAAATCATAATAGAATTTGATTAATTCTTAAAAAAATAAAACAGAATTTGATTTTAGATGTTCGTAGGTAGTAGTAGTGCCACATCGGCATTCTCTCATGTCCCACAACAAATTGCGTGATTTGCGCTCACTAGTTGACTGCTTCGAGTCGGTGTTATACATAGACCCGTGTGGAAAGTTAGGCTCAAATTTCTTGGTTTTTTCGTTTCAAGAGATTTGGAAAAAGAACAGGGTTTACTAACAATATTAGACCAAGGCTATGGGGATTAACATGGACAGATTTTTTGTGCGTGAGATACTGTGATTTAAGAGAATTACATTCTCTTAAAAATTCAACCTTTTGGGAGAAGAAGAGATTTAGAAAAAGGAAGTTTTATTTAAACTAAATTTGTACGAGTTTTTTGCACTTTTAGTCCCACGACTATAATGACACTATCAGGATTGATCCGTGACTTTCAAACCTTGCAATTTTAGTCCAGGACTAATGTTTGTGTTGCAAAAAAACCTTGCAATTTCAGTCCAGGACTAATGTTTGTGTTGCAAAAATGGTCATTCTGACAAATTTTTCGTCAAAATCTCACCGAGAAAAAAAATTCTCGTTTCAAGCAGGAATAAAATAAACATTTACATTAACATTGCAATATCGGACCGTTGTTGACCTTTTATTCTTACCAAAGTGCGAAAAGAAAAACAATTGCCAGAGACGAAAAATTGGGTTTGAAAATGCCAATCGATGTAGCCATTATGTTTTCCTTCAAAATAAAGAAGATGAATATCTGCAATGGATGGCGTGTTGAAGATGTGATGTTTTCCCTTTGTTCGCAGATGGCAATTGTTTTTTTTTTTTTTTTCGCAGATGGCAATTGTTTTTTTTTTTTTTCGCACTTTGGTTAGAATAAGAGGTCAATAGCGGTTCGAGATTGCAAGGTCAATGTAAATGTCTATTTTATCCCTGCTTGAAACGAGTAATTTTTTTTTCCCGGTGAGATTTTGACGGAAAATTGCCCAGAAGGACCATTTTTGTAACAAAAACAATAGTCGTGGACTGAAATTGTAAAGTTTTAAAGTCACGGATCAATCCTGATAGTCATGGGATCAAAAGTGTAAAAAACTCAAATTTTTATTTTATAAGTTAATCAGAAATGGTAATCATAGAATTATTCAATTATATGTATACTAATGTTATTTTTCCTTCTACATTTATCACATAGAATTTACTTTTTAGTGTGACCATAATTTTGTTTTAAATTTTTAGAATATAAATAAATATCTATTTGATTTGAAAACAAATTATGTATTCATGGATTACTAGCTTTGTCTTTAATTATCTTTCATTTTCTCCCAAGCTCAATCAATTCATAGTTTCATACTGAGTTTGACTAAACGACTAATGCATGTGTTTGTTTAAAAATTTTAATTTATTAAAATTATTCTCGCATTTACATATCAAGATTATGTGGTCTAATGGTACCCGAATTGGACTTCCATTTGAAATGTTGTGATTTCGAGCCTCAGTAAAGGCGTTATTGGTTCTTTGTGTTTCAGTAGGTTGAGAAAGTATATGAACAGATACTACAATGTTATAGAACCAGTAACATTTAAAAAAATTCTCGCATTTACATAGAAATATTATAAATAAAATGTGTAAGCCTTTGGAATATCATCAACCTATTTTGTCAATAGGAGTCTCAAAATCCAAATAAAATAATTTATTTTAAAGTCAAGAATTCCATTTCGTACGGATATCGTTTTCACTTCACTGTACAAGGTTTGACCGTTGCTTCAAAAAGTCAACCTACTTATTCCTAGAAACTGGACGGAAGATTGAATGAATAAACACGAGCCCCTATTTTGTTATCACGAAAAGTATTACTGTAGAAATTTAAAATTCAAAAATAATGATACATTTTTAAACACTTTATGATATATTTATGCACACCTAATAGTGAGTAACCGCACGGGAACCTTACTATATATATATATATATATATATATATATATATATATATATATATAAACAAGATTATATAATTTTAGAAAAATTGTAATTTATGTCCTTCCATAATATACCAATTATCAATATCACTCTTGAATTATTAGTGGTGTAAATGTTGTTCTAATTTTTTAAACGGTACATATATTGTCCATCCGGTATCGTACGGGAGGAAAATTGAAGGGCAACATTTACACTATGAGAGAGGCAATATGTGTATCGTTTTGAAAATTGAGGAGAAATATTTACACCACTAATAATTCAGAAGTGACATTGATAATTGACATATTATGAAGGAACATACATTACAATTTCGTCTATAATTTTTTAAAATTATTTCTTAGAACCAATGATTAATTCACACATCAAAAAAAAAAAAATAATAAGTACATCTAGTAAAACTCATTATTATAAACAAGAATCGTGTTACATTTATTTAGTATATGACTTGTCATAATATTTTTAATTTATATTTGAGACTCTTTTATGACATTTTTTAAAACTAATTAACTGTACTTATAATAATATCGGTGAATTTATTAATAATCATATATTTTCTCATAAATAATTATTCTTTTTCTACAAAGAAAATCTTAGGTATGCAGTGGGGCACTTGTATGGTCTTCACATATTGTCATGGGTCAAAGTTTACAACTTAAAGTCTCAAACTAATATACGTATTGACTTTAACGCTAATTTTCTGGAAAGCCCACCCTAGCGAGGTAGGGCCCTCCCATAATTCTAATTTCTATTACCCTATGAAATGGATCTCCATTCTACAAATAGGTATCTATATAGGAAATAAATTTCAAAAATCAAAACATTCGAGTTTCAACTTACTTTTTTAAATAGTGAATTTTATTACTCATTATTTTTTCATATGCCATTCTTTTTTTGAGCTGCATCATCCGCTTAAAAATGTTACTCGCTAAATTTTATTTTATGTGTCGAGCAATACTTAGTGCATTCTAACTATTTATATCTTTCCTTCATCTCATCCTTTCCTTCTTTATATCTTTATATTTGAGCAATGCTTATCGCATTTCAATTGTAGTTAACGAGTGCACGTTACTACAAAAAAGGTAGTTTATTGTTAAAAAAAAATGCATGGTGAAAAAATCATAAATAAATGCATAAGTAATCGCGACTCTTTTTAAATAAAAGGGGCGCAGTTTCTAAAAAAAAAAGGTATAAAATTTTAGGGGTGGAAATTTCAGGATTCGGTTCTGTTTTTTCGATTTCGGTATTAAAAAAATAATACCATTCGGTTTAACATTATAGTTCGATTTGGTTTCGGTTCAGTTTGAAAAAGTTCAGTTTCAGTTCGCAATTAGTTCGGTTCGGTTTAAGAACCTCAATTTTTAACATTTCTAAATTTTCCAAACACACTACCAAACAAAACATATTAACATAGTCCAAATCCAAAGTCTAAACATTATATAACAAAATAGCAATCTAAAGTTCAAACACGCTACTAAGTACTAATTACAAAATATTAGTTGGCTTTTTTGCCAACTGACTTTTCAATTGGCTCACTTGGAATGTTTTGTTGACACGATGAAGAATCATCCATCTGTATAGTTAATATTTGTAGAACAAATGTCAAATACTGTATAGTTAATTTTTTGACACAATCTATCATTGCTTGACAAAATATATTTCCAGTGCACTGAAATAGTATTTTCTAGTGCACTAGAAATCAAAATTAGAATGATATTGGAGCACATCAATTTCATATAAACATGAAACTAAGAAAAGTATTAAATATTGTAAGAAAAACTCAAACTAGAGATAATTGTGAGGCAAAGAACAATTGCAGCAACACAACAAAAGGTGTAAAGTAGAGAACTAGTCATAAAAAAAAATCATATTTAGGAGAGATATTAATGACAAAAGGAGCTGAATGGTGGAGCAAACAACAAGCTAAGGGACTTAGATTTACTTATTTATTTATTTATTTATTTATTTATTATTATTATTATTATTATTATTATTATTATTATTATTATTATAAAAGAAAAAAGAAAAAACCAACAGTACTTCGGTTCGGTTCGATTTTATTTTTTACCAAACTGTTCGGTTCAATTCGATATACAAAAATCCTTTACAGTTCGATTGTTCGGTATATTACCAAACCAGACTAGTTCATTTCGGTTTGGTTCGCAAAAAATGAACATAATTAGAAAAAATAAACAGAACAATTTAAACTTTCCGCGATCCTTTCTCCCAAAAAAGTCATGTAAATTAAAGTGGACATAACAATAATATAAAAAATTGTATAAACTTTCCACGTATGGGAGAAAGGGTCACGAAAAGTTGATTAAAAAATTATTTTAACTTCCCACGACCCTTCCACCCAGAAAGGGTCGTGAAAAGTCAAACTAGATCTACATCTAACACCAGATCGTGAAAACCCTCTCCTCTCCCATCCTTTCCTCCGACGATTTGTAAAATCCTCCAGCGATAGCACCACCACGCTCAGCCATTGCCCACACCACTGCTATTGCCACCGTCGCGCTCAGCTTCCGCCACCGCTGACCCCATCACCACCAACCTCAACTACACCACTTTATTGGTAAGTTTTTTTTTTTTTCTTTTTTTCTTTTTTTTTTACGGTTAAATATGTGTTATTATTATTATTGTGCTAAATATGATATAAACTCCCTCCGTCTCATTTTATCTGTCTTACTTTCCTTTTTAGTTTGTTCAAAAATAGTGGCATCTTTCCAAAATTGAACATAACTATCACTCTACATTTCTCAATTTACCATTTTGATTTTTCAAATTTCTAGAGGTAAGTACAATTGTACTTTGTACAAATAACACCTACTTTTGAGGGAAAAATTGAAAAGTTAGTAATATTTGTTATGTTGTATTAAAAACTGTGCAAAAAGCAAATGAGACAATCAATTATTGGCGGAAGGAGTATTTATTTATTTTTTAAAAAAATTATTTCAAATTTTA